GCAATGGATTCACTCAGCAGGGTTTAACTCCTGCTAGCCAAGGATGTGGCAGGGCAGAGCTCACTGCCTTGGTGCTGCAGTCCCACAGCAGGATGTGAGCTGGACTAAAATCATAGAACGGTTTGGCTGGAAGGGACCTTAAAGCCCAACCAGTGCCACCCCCTGCCCTGGGCAGGGACACCTCCCACCACACCAGGTTGCTCCAAGCCCCCTCCAACCTGGCCTTGAACCTCTCCAGGGATGGGGCAGCCACAGCTTCTCTGGGCGACCTGGGCCAGGCTCCCAGCACCCTCACAGCAAAGAAGTTCTTCCCCACATCTCAGCTCCATCTCCCCTCTTTCAGTGTCAAGCTTCCAACAACAAGGAAGTCATTGGGAGAAGTCAGCACAGCTTCACCAAGGGGAAGTTCTGCTTAGCCAAACCAACCACCTTCTGTGAGGAAGTGACTGGCCTGGCAGAAGCAGTAGAGCAGTGGACACTGTCTACCTGGGCTTCAGAAAGGCCTTTCACACGGTCTTCCATCAGATTCTGCTAGAGAAGCTGTTGATGTATGGGCTGGACGGGCAGATGATGAGGTAGATTGAAAACTGACTGAATGGCTGGATTCAGGGGGCAGTTGTCAGTGACACAAGGTCTAGTTGGAGGCCAGCAACTGATGGTATGTCCCAGAGGCCAATACTGGGTCACATCCTGTTTAACATCTTCATTACTGACCTGGATGGTAGCGCAGAGTGCACCCTCAGCAAGTTTGCAGATGCCACCACACTGAGAGGGGGTGCTGATAAAGGAGGGGGTCGTGCATCCATCCAGTGGACGAGCTGGAGAAACGGGCTGGCAGGAACCTTATGAAGCTCAGCCAGGGAAAGTGCAAAGTCCTGCCCATAGGAACAAACAACTGCAGGCACTGGGACATGCTGGGGGCCACCTGGCTGGAAAGGAGCTCTGCAGAAAAGGCCCTGGGTTTCCTGGTGGACACCAAATTGGCCAATTGGTTCAGTGTGTCCTGGGGGCAGAGCAGATGAATGGTGTCCTGGGCTGCATCAGGAGTGTTGTCAGCAGATCCAGTTTAGGATTATCCCAGTGCAATTGTGCGACAAAATGGGGAAAAGGACTGAGACGTTCAAATTAACAATTTATTTGGACTTCACTCACAGGTTCAATACACCACTATTGCAGGTTCTATGTGTACGATGGTGATTACACTATTGCAATTTAAAAGCAATTAGCTCCAGCTTTCCTGGAGCCCCTTTAGGGACTGGAAGGGGCTCCAAGGTCTCCCCGGAGCCACCTTTTCTCCAGGCTGAACCCCCCCAACTCTCTCAGCCTGTCCTCACAGCAGAGGGGCTCCAGCCCTCCCAGGATCTCCGTGGCCTCCTCTGGCCCTGCTCCAAGAGCTCCATGTCCTGCTGGTGGTGACCCCAGAGCTGGAGGCAGCACTGCAGGGGGGATCTCCCCATAGCCAAGCAGAGGGGCAGAATCCTCCCCCTCGCCCTGCTGGTGGGTGTGTTGCTGCCAAAGTGGGATCTTCCTTGTCACATGGATCTTTCCATCCCAGGTGATGCAGCTCCCCCAGGGCAGGCAGGAGGCTGCCCAGTGCCTGTGCCAGCAGCCGGATGCGAGGAATCCATCACACCTGATCCTTCCCTGGCTCCTGGAAGGATGTGAGTCACGCCTGAGAAAGAGGGACATGTACTTAGGCACGAGTGCCCTGTCCTAAGCATATGGCAGCAGTTCACCAGTTCTGTGCAGGAGGGTGCTCTCTGGCTGCCATGCTATTGCTTTTTCCCACCTCCAGCTGTACTGCTTGTCCCACTGCTTCACAGACACCCTCACATGCGTCTCCCCTGGCCACCCACCCTGCCCTGCCCATCCTCCACCCACACCCCAGGGGAAGAACTGGGGGCAGCCCTTCACCCATCCCTTGTCCTGCCACATCTCTGTGGGGTGCACCCACCCCCCAGGTCCTGCCACCTACCCACAGGGGGACAGCCCTACATCCACCCCCAGGTCCTGCTGCTCTGGTCTGTCTTCATGCCAGGCTACATGGTGCCCAGGAACCTGCTGTCTGGGAAGATTTTGGCACATCCTCACACCCAAGGTGCAATCTCCAAGAGGGAAAGGAGGAAGAGGAGACACAGAGAGCCTTGCTGCTCCCACAGCCCCAGGGAGTTGGAGGAGCTTCTATCCTGCCCAGGAGCTGGACACCGCCAGGACCCTCTGCTATGGGGTGCCCTGGGAAGCAGGTCTGAGAGCCCCGAAACTCTGCCAGCATGATGTCACTGTTTATAATAGCACCGTGCTCTTTGGGAGCTGCCCTGCACAGAGCTGAGTGGCAGCGTCAGGCTACACGTGTGCTTGACATGGGCAAACAGCATGGTACAGTGAAGCCAAAAGCTATCCTCCTCCTCCCCGAGCACCTCCAGCTGCTTTTGTCACCCAGGGGTGGGTGCCTGGTCGAAGCATCCCCCTGTGGTGGCAGGTTCCCCCTCCCTGGCTTCCTCTGGGAGATGGGGCCAGCAAGATTTGTGACCCTGGGAGTGGTCACAATGTGTTGGGTGTGGGGAAAGCAGGAGTGACACAGGTCTATGGGTGTCAGGTGTTCCCAGGGGAGGAGGGGTGAGGCTGGGAAAGTTCCTGTGTGCTGCTGAAGCAGGCGGAAGGAGGGAAGAGAATGAGGTCCTTGGACCCTCCTCTGCCTGCTGCCAGGCTCCAGCAGCCTTTGTGGTCCTGTGCTGCCTGCAGGTCTGTGTTGCCAGGGCGGTACTGGCAGGACAGCAGGGTAACGCCTGCCCCTGTACTTCTCTCTGCTGCCATGCCCAGGGGAAAGGCCACAAGCTTGAAAGAGACTGAATTATCCTTGCCTGGCGTTTCAGCCAGGTCTCTACCTTGTCCTGCATCATCTCACCCTTGAGTCAGGCAGGTTTCCCAGCCCCTGGGCCAGACCACTCCCAGACAACACAATAAAATTCCATCGCTGCTATTTAACATCAAATTTAGCATGTACAAAGGGAACCTAAAGGACACACTTCTCCCCTGGCTGGGGGACTGCCCCCTGCACCACCCAGACCCCTGCTCCCTGGCAGGTTTGTCCCATCTGCTGGGCAATCTGCCCGCCTGCACCAGCACACAACAGCCACCCTGTGATTTCTGCAATGCATGAGATCACACCCTCACCTGCTCGGTGCTGAAATGCTGGGAAGCAGCCTGTGGCCCTCCCTGCTCTTCTGAGAGCCAGGCCTGAAGCTGGAGCCCTTGTACTCCCCAAGGGGTTTGTGAATCTTTCCTTGCTCCACTTTCAGAGGAATAAGGAGGTCTGCTTCTCTGAGGCTGCATTCGGCTGGATGCGTGCACACCTCAATGCCCTGGGGAGCCCCAGGGGGATGCTGCCTGGAGCCAAGCAGGACTATGGGCTCCCTACCATGCTGGCCCTTTGCAGCAGGTCTGTGAGAATGTGGCTGGGTTGTTATCTGGGGTGAATGAAACCAGGAGAGGTGCAGGAGAAAAGGCAGGATAAATACCACTGCACATGTTGAGAGCTGTGCATCCAAGGCTGCTTTATCAGCACAGCTCAGGGTGCCCTTGCAGCTGGGTGCTCTGTGCAGGAAGCCCAGCATCAATGCTGCCAGACATGCACCGGTATCCCAGTGCCATGGCCCCAGTGCTGCTGCTGGCAGAGGAGCTGCGGAACAAACCAGTTGCCCCCACTCCAGCTCAAGGTTGCCAGTGGGGTCACCCACACACCCTGAAGGCAGGAGAGCTGCTGTCAGCTGTGCTGCCTGTGGATTGGAGCTGGCTGTGCACCCGTTGCCTGCTCCCAGGCACAACACACAAGGGGCTCTCTAGTGACCAGAGCTGCAGGTGGTGGAGAACCCTGTGTGGCAAATGGGACAGCTCAACAGCACAGGGCTCATCCAGCAAGTGAAAATCATGTCGCTTCTCAGGCTGGCAGAGGGATAGGAAGGACCTGTTGAATGGCACAGTGCTTAGAGGGGATGGCTTTAGCACAGCTCCTTGGGAAGGGGCCATCATGCTCCAGCAAAGCCCAATGCCACTCAAGGCGGGAGAGTGGAGAGCTGCCAGGGACCTGAGGGGAGCAAGGAGCAGAGGGTTCTGAGATACCAGCCCAGCTGGAGACTCACACTGTCAAACAGGCCTGGAGTGGGACATCTGAACCAACAACACTCCCAGCATGGAAACTGCTGGATCCTCTAGGCACCTCCACCACACCACATTTTTCTGGCCTGTAGTGGTGGATCTTCCCCTGTGGCAGAGGAGGCTCTAGTCCTGCTCTATCCCATGCACCTTCCCAGAGAGCTGGAAACTCCCAAAGGAACAGTGGACTGGATCTTGGTGACCTGCTCTGGGCAAGGCCTTTGGGCCTTGTCAGGCTGCCAGACAGGGACCTCTCTCCTTCTCCCAGGAGCTGGGAGCAGGTGCTCTGCACAGCCCCCAGCACCTCCAAGCAATCGCAGGAGCAGGCCAGGCTGGGTCCTCTCCGGGGAGTACTTCTGGCCTTTGCCCAGAACAAGACTGAGCCCCACCAAGTGTGTCATCTGCTGGCTGCAGCCTCACAGGTGGGGAGATCGTGAACTCCATGGGACCCTCCCTCCACCCCAACACCCAGGCTTGGCCATCCTTCTGGCACTGCCATCTGGGCCATGACAGGAGCCTAGAGGGATATATACCTCCCTAAACCCCTATGTCCCCCATTGCTCATACCCCTGGCTGGGAGACGGCCCCGCTGGCAGTGGTACAGGAGCACTTATACTCTGTTCTGGGGCAGAAGTCGGATTGAGAGAGGTATGGGCCAAAGCAGACTCCTGTGGGACGTTGCAGGGCCCGGAAGGGCTGAGGACACCACAAGCACCAGGGACCGGGACCCCCTCTCGTGCCGACTTGCGCGGGGGCGGGCGGGGCCGGACCGTCCCGCCCGGCGCGAAGAGCCAATGGCGGCGGCGGGCGCGGGCGTAGGCGGGGCCGGCGGCGGGAATCGGCGGGCGGTCGCGGCGCTGCGGGAGCTGGGACGGAGCGGGGTCGAGCCGAGCCTACGCTGAGCGCGGGGCCGCCCTGCCCTGGCCCTCTTTTGTTGTCTGAGTTCCTGGCGGCAGCGGGCTCCGGCCCTGGTGGGGCGGGCGGGATGTCCCAGGAGAATCTCCTCGGCATGGATGAGGGAGCGCTGCGGAAGCTGGTGAGTTCCTGCGGCGGGGCGGGCCGGGGCACGGAGTGCGCTGCCCGCAGCCATTGCTCGCTGGTGGCGGCTCCTGGGGGGAGCAGATCGGCGTGTGCCCGGCGGTGCCCCGGCTCCCTGTGCCCCGCCGAGGGCGGGGAGGTGGTGACTCTCCGGGACGCGGGCGGCCGGGCTGGTTCCAGGGGCTGAGCGTGGGCCTGCCCGCACCTTCCTCCGCAGGCGGTGGGGCCGCCGTAGCCCCTCAGCACCGAGGGGTGAGCGCGGCCTCTGGTAAGGAGCTGCTGCAGTGCTTGGAAGGTGCCGGTAGTAGCACCTCAGGGGCCCCAGCTGGCCTGGGTCGGCACAAGCCCTTGTCCTGCCCCGGTGACTCCAGAGACTCTGGCCCTGCTGCTTTGGCCACAGTTGGCCCTTTGTGCTTGGGCTGTAGTGTCTGTCCCTTGGCCCTGTCTCCTTGGCTCCTGCCAGAGGTGTGTGCTGCTGCCGGACCTGCTTGCTGCTCTCCTGGTGCTGGCTGCCATTTGGCCCGGGTCTCTGCTCCTGTGTGGCCTGGGGCTGGCTTGGTAACAGAGACAGCTCCCCAGACCCTGTGCCTGCATGGATGGGCATCCCCTCCTTTGTCCCAGTCGCTTCCCTGCTCTGTTTGTTCCCCTGGGAGCCAGAGGCGGAGGTGAGCCTTGGCCTTGTTGGGGATGAGCGCCTGGAAGTCCCAAAGGTTGGACTCTGTGTGTTGGGCTCTGACCTGCTTGGCCAGGGCTGTTGTGTTGAGAAGCCCTACAAAAGTTCTACCTGGCTTTGGGCAGTTGCACCACCTCCCCTCCAGCCCTGGGGCACTGCAAGCTTGGGGCTGGGGTTTGCTGAGTGCTCCAGGGACTGAGCATGGGGTGGATCAGGCCAGCACTGGGGAATGGTTACAGCAGGAAGCTGAGTCAGACAGGAAGGCATGTCTGTGTGACTAGGAAAGAGTTGGGGTGCCACGGCACCAGTGGGAAGCAGGAGCTGCACTCTGCTGTGGGCAGGGGGTTGGCACTGATGTGCTATCCTTGGCCTGCTCCGGGTGACAACACACAGACCTGCCTGTTCCTGCACTGAGGAGCTCACCGGTCTTCATGGGATGGTGTCGGGGCCAACAGGGGGCCCTGGAGGTGTAGGGATGGGTGGTCTGGGTTTCTCCCCATCTTCCCAGTGCTCCAGCTCTGCCGTGTCCTGGCTGAGATGGAGCCCCAGGAGCTGTGATGGGGTGTGTGTGGGGTTTGTTGTGCAGCTGGGTCTTCAGCCAGCTCAGGGAGGTGGATCTTACCCGCGCAGCAAATGCTGCTTCTCCTGGGGTCTTCATCTTTAACCAGCTGGGGCTTTGTATCCCCAGAGTATGCTGTGGCTCAGGTCTCCCTGTGCCTCTGTGGCGTGGGCTGAGGAAAGCCTGACGTGAGGCGGGGAAGGAATTATTTTTCTTTCTGGTTAGGTTTTGGCTCTGCTCAGCTGGAAGAGGATTAGCCCATATAAGGGAAAACTGCCTCTCCCACCGCTTCCTGCCTGCTCCTTTGCTCTCCCCAGCCCTTGGCTCTGGGCTGCTTCTCCTCCTCCTTTCTAGCAAGTGAGACCCTGGCAGCAGCATGTGACATCTCTGGGGGTCCTAGAAGAAGGAGGCTGAGGGACATGAGCAGGTCCCTGCAGCCCCCTCGCTGGGCCCATGGCTGCACTGGAAGCTGCTGGGGAGCCTCTGCCCCCCTGCCTCCTGTAGGTATCCATGTTGTTCCCTCCCACCTGCCTGCTGGTACCCTGGTCTTGGGGAGGCCAGCTGGGATGAACCCATGGTACAGCATGAAGATGACAAAGGGCTTGGAGAAGGCTGGTGGGGGAGCTGCAGGGAATGGGGTGGGTGCTGCTTCAGGGTGGCCCTTAGCTGGGTGTCTGGAAGCATGTGGTGATTTGAGCACTTGGGGCTGTGCTGAGCTCCAGGCTGTGGTCAGCTGGCCCTGGGTTGGGGACTGCTCCCCTCTCTCGCCCCCTCCATATCTCAGCCTGATTAATTAAACAGCCACAATGCAAATGCCTTTACAGGCAGGGCAGGCTTGAGTTAGGAAGTCGTGCCCATGAAGTCCCCTTTGGCAAAGGCCTCAGCCCTGAGGAGCATTGCATCCCTGCCCTGTCCCCATCACCAAGCTGTTCTTCCTGCTTTCCTCTGCCTAGGAGGCAGCCACATTCTCCATGGCTCCTTCCAAATGTGACAGCAAAGCTTGGGGCTGCAGGAAGTTCTGGATGTGCCTGGCCTCTTCCCCAGAGCAGTTTCCCTGTGGCTGGGCTCCAGCCTCCCAAATGCTCTGTGCTCAGCCGCTCCGGGGAGCCAGATGGATGCAGGGCTAATTACAGCCCTCCCGGAGGAGCCGCTAGCCATTCTGGGGCTCTGAACACTGCTGTGCTTGGGCAGCATTGGGAAAGCAGCCCATGGGTGCCTTGCCAGCACCCTTTTCACAAAGCCACTTTGTGTGCTGAGGCGGGTGTTTGCTCGTAACCATTAATTTGCTGCTGCCTGGGCAGGGCTGGTGGGGCCCTGGCATGTGCTGATCCCTGGGCCTGCCCGTGCCGGCAGGGTTGGGCCCCTCATCCCCTTCCCACCCCCTGGCTCCAACTGGTTTCCGGCATGCTCTCCCTCGCTGCTGGCCATGGAGCCTCCAAAGCCCCTTGTTTGCCTCATCCTGGCTCCCTGCTGATGTGGACTTGGGATGAGGCTCTTTCTCCTGCCCCTACTGCCGTTTTTCCTATGGGGGAAGCCTTCCAGGACCCAGGTGCATGTCAGGACCCAGCTGAAGTCTCCTGGGCAGGGCAGACCATGGAGCTGGGTGTCACACAGCATGTGGATGCCAGGGTGTCCCCTGCTCTGGTGACAGGGCTGGTGTCCTGTCATGTCCCACCCTTTCCAGCACTCTTGGCTCCTACAGCTGCTGCTCCCGTCACCCTCAGCCAGGGCTGAACCATGCACCGCCAGCAGCTTATTTAGGGAAGGCCCAGGGCTTTGGCCTCCTGGTGTGCAGCGGAGGAGTGTTTTTCTGTCCTCAAGGCAGCTGCAGGGAGAGCCATGCTTGCCACAGAATCTCTGCCTTCAGCTCCTCGTTTTGTGCTGGACCAGGCTCCATCACTGCCATCCCATGCACAGCAGAACTGGGCTTCCCAGTTGGCCAGAGTGGCTGCTGTGGCTGCTGAAATCGCAGGGTAAAGGCCCTGACTCGGTACCTTTGTCCTGGCAGCCAGCGTCCCTGCCTGTGACAGCATCCCCAGGATGCAGAAGCCGCATGGGGCAGGCAGGCATAGTGCAGACAGGAAATGGGAGGTCCATGTGGATGGAGAGACTGGTTTCCTCCCTGACATCACCCTGCTCTGGCAGCACAGCATCTCTTACTCTTGCCTGCCCTTGTGAAGGTGCTGGCTCTGGATACGAGCCCAGGGGGGCTGCAGGCCGCAGCTCTGGCCAGAAGGCAGATGTTTGTGTTGCTGTGGGATGTGATAAGCAGCTGCAGCGTGCCGCGAGGGATGGCACTGCCAGCAGGCATAGTGGGGGCTGCTGGGGTGGGAGAGAGCACACCAGCCTCAAGCAGCTGCCCCCAAGGCTGCAAACATTTTTAGTGCTGGGATGGCCAGGGAGAGCTGTCTTGGGGGTCGGTTGTCCCAGCTGTTTAGAATCCTTCTGGGGTCTTCCCAGCTGGGAAAGATAATGTTACTGGCTGGGCCTCAAGGCTGGCAGGGGCTGGAGGATCACAGTTTTGGCCACCACTGGGGTGGTTCATGGGGGATCTGTGCTTGCTGGCTTCACTGGGATGGAAATATCCTCACCTGGTCCCCAGTCCCTGAGGAGGGAGGGTGAAGTGCGATGGCTTTGTTGGGGTCTCGGTGCAGGGCGTTTTCTGCTTGCGGGTGGTGGTTTGGCACCCTTGGCACTGCTCAGCCTGGGTCCTGCTGAGGGACTGACCCTGGATTCCTGCGGCAGCGGAACCTGAGGAGCCTGGATGGGTGGCCTGGTGGTGGCCTGTGGGACTGGAAGGGAAGGGACTGATGCTCTTGTCCTGTGGCACAGCTGCAGCTGCTCCCTGCATGCTTGACACTGACAGCAGCTGCTTTGGGTAACAGGGTTTATTTTTAATGAGCTCCATGGGAAATCACCTCCTGGGTTCCCAGCACTGTGTTGGTCCTGATGTCTCACAGCAGGACAGTGGGAGGACAGTGGGGCTGTGCCTGCCCTGGCTGACCTTTCTCCACAGATCCAGCTGCCTTCTGCCCCCCTTCAGTGTGGGTGGGCTGTGCATGGCCCCCTCAAAGCACTTGGACTGGTGGCAGGGCTGGGACTGTGGACCTGATCTGGAAAAGGGGAAGCAGTTCTGGGTGCCCATGCCAAGTCCTGGTGGGTGGCCTTGGGTGGGCTGAGGAGCACCTATGAGATGTTCATGGCAGGGCTGGGGTCACGGCCACGCTTCCCACATACAGAGGGTTGGATTTTGATTAAGGACAGATCCCACTCATGGATTTGGCTCCAAGAGCCACGTGCCATTCCCTAGTGCTGGGTGAGGGTGGGGAGGGGTGTTGGGGGAGACCATTTCTTAGTGGGGTGCTGGGACCCTCCCAGTGAGTACCTTCTGGGGGCCATGGGGATGGGAGGGGAACAAACTCCGCTGCTGGAAGGGCTGGCGTGGGTGAGAGGTCTCATCCCTGTGTGGGTGTCCATGGGGGGACAGGGCTGCAGGGAGCCAATGCTTGGGGACTGCATAGACAACTGAGGGGCATTCGTGCCATGTGCCCCGTCTCCTTGCCCTTCACAAGCCTGGGGGTCTTGGTACCACTGTGGCAGCCCTTCCTCAGCATGGCTGGTCTCAGCATCCTGCCCTTGGCAGGGGGCATGTCCGCTCCCTGTGGGACCAGGCAATGCCGGGCAGCATGTCCCATGTGCGTGGGCCCTGCCAGACAGATGGTCCCATCGTACTGTGTGTGGGTGGTCCAGCGGAGAGCGGCACCAGGGCTGAGCTGGGGGGCTGCAGTGGCCAGAGCTGGTGCTGAGCCCTGCCCTGTCACACCCAGCTGGAGGCAACGCTGGACCTGGCTGAGCGGCGCCGCATCCGCTCGGCCATCAGGGAGCTGCAGCGGCAAGAGCTGGAGCGGGACGAGGAGGCACTGGCATCCAAGCGCTTCCGCACAGAGCGTGGCAGCCACCGGCAGGACGACAAGGAGAACTGGCCACGGTGAGTCTGGCGTGAGGCTGGGGTCCCACTCACCCCCTGCCTCTGCCCCAGGGGATGGTGGCTTCGATGCCTGGCCCCACTGTGGCTTGGGCAAATTTGGGTGGGTGTGAGGGTGGGAGCAGCCTGGTGCCAGACAGCTTGGCATGCGGGAGGGGCCTGTTGCCTGAATTTACTGACTGCCCACAAGGGGACTTTGCTCCCGAGCACCCACGGCAGCTCCTAGCTGCCTTCTCTCCCTTCCGTGCGCAGGTCCCGGCGCCTGGAGGAGGAGCAGCAGGCAGCCCTGGCTGCCTTGTCCAGGCAGCTTGAAGCCATCACTGATGTGGAGGAGCTGACAAAACTGGTGAGTGACCGTGTGGTGGGGCTGACCATGTGCCAGTGCTGACCTTGTGCTGGGACTGACCCTGCCCCTCTCCCGGTTCTTTCCCTCTTGCAGCTGCGGGCGGCGGGTGAGTATGAGGAGCGCAAGCTGATCCGAGCTGCCATCCGCAAGCTGCGGGCTGAGGAGATTGAAGGTGAGGCACTGTCCCCACATCCTGGGGGTGGCTACTCCAGAGATCCCAGGATGTGGACAGCTCCTTTCTAAACACCGTCTTTGCTCCCATCCAGCTGCAACCCTGGCTGGAAACACGCAGAGCAGAAGGAAGGATGGCAGTGAGCCCCCTGCTGTGCCTGGGGCTGTGAAAAGCAGCCAGAGGGATGATGCTGAAACTCCAGCCCAGGCTGGGAGTGGGAAGAACAGCCCAAGAAGCGATCCTGATCTGCCAGCCCTGGCTGAGAGCGGGGAGGGCCATGGTGAAGGCAGCACTGAGCCCTTGACCACAGCTAGGAGCGAGGAGAGCAGTCAGCGGGATGATGCAGGGCAGCCGACGTTGGCTGTGCCGGACGAGAGTGGCCATGGTGGGGCTGCAGAGCTGTGCTCTGCTCAGGAGCCAGAAGGCTCAGCGGTGAGTACGCAGGACACTGCTGGGGGAACAGGACCACCGGAGACATCCTTGCCCTTCCCTTGGGCTCCTGTGCCAGCCTGCCTGGAGCATAAGCCCCCAGGCAAGCTGGGTTCGCCCACCTGAGGGGACTGGTGCAGGTGGAGATGGGGTCTCTGGGGACATGGGGGATGTAGCTGGGCTGTGCCAGCATGGCCCCAGCAGTGGTGAGCTGGGGCTGGGAGCTCAGGCCTGGGTGCCCCTGGGCTTATCCCTGAGGATGCAGCCTGGGCAGAAGTGCTGCAGGTGAGGGGTCTGTGGTGACCCTCAGTGCACTTGCTGTACCCCTCCCTGCTGTGACTCTGTGGGGATGGTGCTCTTGGGAGGTGATGGACACTTGCCCTGTCTGCAGCAGCTGCTTGCATCAGTCCCCTTGTGCAGGCAGAAACCTTGATCCTCCCTGTGCTGATCATTCCTGCTGGCCCTTGAGGGGCTGAGGCTCACCGCTGATGGGCGGGGCTGGAAGGAATGGGTGAAAGCCTGGGTTTTCTGTGGAGCAGTGGTGACCCCACAGGGGACAATGACTTTCATGGCAGTAGGAGGTCCCTGCAGAGACACCACGCAGGGTTGCCCTTTAGAGGAGAGGGTGAAGGGAGTAGCAGCAGTTGTATCCACAACTGTATGGGAAGGTGTGGGTCCCCACTTCTGTTCAGCCCAATTTCCCCCTCTGTCTGCCCCAGGGCCATGGCAAGAGTCTGTGGGGGTATGGAGGACATAGCCCTGTGCCACCTTTCAGCACTGTCTCCTTTCCCCATCTGGATGTGCTGACACACTACCCCTGGTCCTGGCCATGCTGGGACATCTCCCAAGCAGCCAGCAGGGCTCTCCCACTCTGTCTGGCTGATTATTCCAAACCCAAGGCCATTTCCCTTAAACAGCAGTTGCAGTGGCACCTGGATTTGGATCCCTCAGAGAGTCACATCAGCACCTGGAGCCCATGGTGCTCCTAGAGGCACTGGCAAAGCCAGGACTGGTCCCCTGTGCCACTTGTCACACCAGAACACCCTGGCCCTTGTCAGGCCTGTGTCATGGACATATCTGTCACCTGCATGTCCTTGCCACTCTGATGTGAGTGTGTTGCCCTGCACCCAGATCATGCCATTGTTTGCCAAGCAGAGCTGGTGGTGCCGTGGGCAGGGACAGGGTGATGCAAAACTGGGTACTTCTCTGTGAGACAGAGCCCTGAGGTGCCTGGGCTGGGGGGCTGGAGGGGACAGGGGCACTGGGTAGGGGCTGTCCTCTCCTCCCACCTCCTGGCATCCATGCTGGACAAGGCTGGTGTACTCATGGCAGGGGCTACAGAGGAATGTCAGAGCCAGCTCCTTGCTCCATGCCCTGGTGCTTATCAGCCCCATACAGAGGAGTGCCAGGAGCCCTAGGACTGTGCAGGTTTTGGGCCCCACCTTCATTAGACACAGTGATCCTCTCCCTGCTCGGTGGAAGCAGCAGGGTGTGAGGACACTTGTCCCCCTGCCAGCGTTCTGCAGTGACCCCTGTGCGGTGGTGGCCTGTCCATCCACAGCAGCATCAGGCAGGGACCTGAGTGCCATGGGAGCCTGCAGCGTGTCCCTGGCTGGGCGGCAGGGATGGGACAGGGTAACCCAGTCAGAGATGGGAGCAGGGCTGGCCCTTCTCTCACACCCTGCTCTCTGCAGGCCCATGAGCAAGTTGACGTGGTGGAGCAGGACCGTGTCCCAGCTGGGATGCAGGAGCTACGCAGTCAGCAGGCAGGAGACCCCCAGAAACCCAGTACCCAGGGTGAGTTCCCAAATACCTGTGGCAAAGCCCCATCCAAGTGTGTGCCTGGGGTCAGAGCAGAGCCAGGACCAGCTGTGGGCAGGGGCGGGAGGATGGAGAAGGCAGCGTGGCATCTCCCAAAGGTGCAGACAGGGGAGCCTGGCGCCTGGTAGGGCTGCAGGAGCAGGGGTGCTCTGCAAGCAGCCTCAGTCTATGCCCTTGCAGAGCCTCTCCTCTCTCCCACAGCTGTGGTCTCGGGGACTCTCGCGCTCCTGGAGCTGCAGCAGGCCCCAGAACCTGGTCTGGAGCTTGAAGGTGGTGGTGAGGAGCCAGAGCAGGTCCAGCTGTGCTCCCTGGGCACTGCTCAGCCCAAGGGGCAGCACCAGGTGGCCTGGAAGGAAGGAAGCCCACGTAGCTCTGCCACTGCCCAGGAGCCCAGTGGAGGGCGAAGCCATTGGGTGGAGCAGCCCCCCATGGGCCATCCCAGTGCTGGCAGCCAGGTACAGAAGTGGTGGCACTGGGGTCGCCACTGCCCTCTTCACCCCTGGGGCTGATGGTCCTGTGGGTGAAGGCAGCTTGATGGCGTAGGAGGGTGCGTGTGCCCCCCCAGCTTTGCCTCTTTCCCTCCCTGCAGCTTGGTGTCGGGGTGCGCAGCCAGGTGCCAGCACCGGCCGGGAGGCATGTTGAGCCGCCATCGGGTAAGTGAAGCCCCATGGGGAGAGTGCTGGGGCTGTGTCCCCCCCAGCTGGACAATGCCCTTTAGGGGGCCCCTACTGCATCCCTGCCCTGCAGCATGTGCATCCCAACAGCGTGGGGAAGGGCATCAGCCCTGGGGATGTGACAAACCCACAAGGGCTGGGGCAGAAATGTGAGGGCAGGAGGCGGCCAGGCCAAGGGTCATCTCCAGCTGGTGGCAATTTGCTCCCGGGCCGTATGGTAATGGTGCCTGCCCCAGCTGGGTGCTAGGGGAGCAGGGTGCCTGGTGGCCTGTTTACCAGTCCCCCAGCTCCAGGCTGGGCGGCAGCACAACCATGAAAGGGAAACGGTGCCTGCAGCAAACCCCAGCCTTTTGCATTCTTTGTCCCAATAAGGCCAGGAGCTGTGCGCTGGCTGGCCCTGACCTTCCTGGGGCTGCACTGACTGGCCCAGCCAGGGCCCGGTACCCTCTGGGTCCTCCCTGTAGCCTTGAGGGATCACAGTTGCCAGCAGCTGCTTTCTTCCTACTGCTGGGAAAACCATTCCTGAGGTTGTGGCTGTGCTGGGAGGAAACGGGGGTTAAAAAAACAGAGAGCAGTGCTCTGTCCCCAGGGTGAAGGTTCCCACTCAGGGTCACGCTTGCAGGCAAAGGCTGTTTTCCTCCAAGAAGCCCTGGGGGTCGTCTGGCTCCTGAGAAGGCAGAAACCCTGGGGAGATGCCATGGGATGGTGCACTGCAGCATGGCACACTGCTGGGGCAGAGGGAAGTGTGCAGGACCTGACCCACCTTGCCTCACCTGGGTGTTCAAACCTGGGTACAGGGGAAAGGCTGAGCTGCCCTCCCGCTTGGGCATCAGCAACTCCAGCCCCATGCCAGCATGCTGCCTGTTCAGTGCCTGCCTGCACCCGTGTGCTTCCTGGATGGGGGCTGAGCGACTGGGCCCCCTCACCTGCCTTTTCAGAGGCAATGCTGGGCTGGCCCTGCTCTGCCAGGGCCTGGTGGGTGCAGGGATGATCCCTATTGCTCAGCACAGACCCTGGGTGCCACTCACTGCTGATAGGGTGCAGGTACTCCAATCTGTGCCTTACAGTGTGGTTTGGCACTGCAGGACACAGCCGGCATCCTGCAAGTTGGTGGGTTTTGGCAATGATCTCTGGAGAGTGTTGGGGTGACAGGGAGGGGGACCCTGGGGTGCTCTGCTTGGGAGGGGGAGGATGGCAACAGCACCCTGTGAGGCACTCACCCCCTGCTCCCCTTGCCCCATTCTTTGCATATCTGGCCTGTCCCTTCCTAAGTGGCAGTGCCTACCCAAGACATAGTGGGGACCCCGACTCGCGTGAACACTCACCGGTGGGAAAAAGTGCCCTCCTCCTCCTCCCTATGCTCGACTGGCCGCACAGGTAAGGTCCTGGGCTGTGGCTGCCTCTGCTTTTGATGCTTCCCGGTGGACGGAGATCTGCGATGTAGCAGGGCTCTGTGGTGGCAGGATGCTGCTGGCTGCCC